AACCCGCCACCTTGGGTGTACATGGCTGGCGCCTTAGCCACTTGAGCCACAGGCACCAAGCCTTTATTTTATTTTTTAATGTTACTACTCAAATGTCCCCAAAGGTACTCAGTCAGCCCTGATGAGATTATAAATTGAAACAACCTTTCTAGAGGGCAGTGTAGTAGTACGTATTACTAGCTTTTAAAATGTTTATACCTTCAATCCACTTAACACTTTTAGATATTTGTCCAAAGAAAATAAGAGATAAGCACAAAGATACGTGTCCAAAAATATTTATCACAGTCATCGTAGTGTCAAAAGACAAAATTGCAACAAATCCAAAGATCTCAATTACCTTTATTTGTGATTCTAGAATTGGGCAACACTGCTTTCCATAAAGTAGAGTAAGTGGTAAGTGTTATAGTGAGCTGAGCAGAAGAGAAGGGCCTCGGAAAGCAGACGGGAAGAACAAAGAGTGTGTTAGTCACTTTTAGACAGAAGGATAGAAAAATTACTGGCTCTTAACATCCTATTACTTAGTAAGGACTAAAGCAGAGGGTACTTCGCTATCAAGTGATTGAGTATTTTAAAGTGGCTTGTTTGAGAAGTTGGCTGTTATCACTTTCTCCTGATTTCTTCAAAGGTCAGACAACTTTGTTTGGGCAGTGTAGAACTTTAATATAGATGTCTCCATTTTAATTTTTAGTCTGGTCTGTTGGGAACTAGTACAAAAGCTTAGTCCACAGCAATGGCCTCCTATAATTTTTATTTGACATAGCACAAATTTAGAAATAATCTCAGTGTCCAACAGTTAGTTATTACAAAATAAAATTATATTATAAAACACCAAACTTAGAAATCATGTTTTTGAAAACATTTAAAGATATAAGAAAGTATTCATAATAAATGTTAAATAGTAAGATATAGAATATTAACTTTATTAAAATATGTGTGTACACAGCGGCCAGGCACGGTGGCTCATGCCTGTAATCCCAGCTCTTGGGAGGCCAAGGAGGGTGGATTGCCTGAGCTCACAGGTTAGAGACCAGCCGGAGCAAGAGCGAGAACCTACCTCTAAAAATAACCAGGCTTTGTGGCTGGCACCTGTAGTTCCAGCTACTCCAGAGGCTGAGGCAAGAGATCGTTCGAGCCCAAGAGTTTGAGGTTGCTGTGAGCTATGATGCTACAGCACTCTATTGAGGGTGACACAGTGACACTATGTCTCAAAAAAAAAAAAGGTAATTTTAAGGAAAAAGTGATAGAAATCTGCCAGAGGTGTATGCCCTGCCTTTTGGTTACCTACACTTTTGGTGGGATTTAAGTAAATGTCAAGAAAATATGAATCCGTATGTACAGATACTTGAAGTCAAAACTTTTTTTTTTTTTTTTTTGAGA